GGTCCACGAAAATTTCCGATCTTTTTGGGTAAGCCTGTGGAGTGGTGCACTGACGGCGGCAAATCCTTTGATAAATCTCCGGTGGTATGATGCCAGACCGAGGAAACTACGTAACCCACGGACATTCGTCGGTGTCGGCCACTCAGCGATGTGTCTGGTCTTACACGGGTCCGTTTGAACCCCATCGGAATACAAAATATGGCCCAAGAACAATACCTCATGTTGTAGAGGGTTAGGCCCGCTCCCTTGATGCGCCATAGTACCTCTCGCAGTCGACTGTTGTGTTCGTTCGTCGTCCGTCCGTCCGTGGAAAATGATGTCGTCCAGGTAGATCAGGCAACATCTAGGGACCAGCCCTGCCGATACCGTCTGCATAAGACGCTGAAATGTTGCTGGTGCGTTTGCAAGTCCGAATGGCATTGTTTTGAGCTCATAAAGTCCAGATGGAATTATAAAGCTGTGTTCGGTCGGTCTTGGGGTGCGACTTCTACTTGCCAGTAGCCCGAAGCCAAGTCTAGTGTTGAGAACCACCTTGCCCCTGCCACAGCATCGATTGTGTCGTCCACTCGTGGTAGGGGAAAAGAGTCACGCGTAGTGATATCATTTAATCTCCGATAGTCAACGCACATACGCGAATTTCCGTCCTTTTTCTTTGCAAGGACAATGGGAGAAGCCCATGGAGATGATGACGGCCGAATGATCCCGTCGTCTAACAACTCTTGAATCATGATGTCCAGTTTGGCGCGGTAGTGAATAGGGATTCTGCGAGGGGTTTGATATATAGTGTGGTGGTGTCCAATATCGATAGTATGTTGAAGGATATGGGTACGGCCCAGTTTAGATCTGTGGGTGTCAAACGAAGTGGAGAATTCACTTATTAGTTCCATTAGGCCGTGCTTCGCCTCCGGAGGAGCAGGGCTACAGTCAACTAAGAATTGCGTCCAATGATTGCTGCGTTGTAAAGACAACAGGAAATCAGGGTTTGGTTGGCAGTGGTTGTCGAACTTGAGTTGTCCGCTGGTGAGGTCGGTAGAAGCTTCGTATTTCTTTAAAAGTCCATCCCAAGGATGGCTTCCCATGTCACCGGGGAGCAATAGAACTGGTGGTGCGTGCACAGTTGCCCGATGCTGACAGAAAGTAACGCTGTTCCCGCTGTTTGGAGTGGTGTACCATTCGCTGTTAGTAATTTCGTGCTGACTGCCGAGTGACGATCACCTGACCAAAACTTCCGTGCGCCGACTACGGAGCACGAAGCGCCCGTGTCCACCAAGAAACGTACTGGGCGTTTGTCCAGGTAACCTGAGATGGTGAGTGGTGGCGTAGAATGGGAAATATGAGAAATGATAGGTACCGAATTACACAAAGATAGAGGCTCACCGGTGGGACGGATTGGGGGATTGTGACCGCAACGCTGGTCTCTTCTCCCGAACCGGCGGCAGTAGGGGCAGCTCATCCGGCTTCCCGGACGGTTATGCTGGTTATCAGGTGGTAACTGACGAAGACCGGGATCGGCGGTTATCTTCAAGGCCTGAAGTTCTGGTTCCAACTCTGATGTTGCCCCATAACTGTGGGCAAGTTGGACTGCGTCACGTATATTATCCGGAGAACGACGTATAAGTTCTGCCTTTAGGCCAGGGTGAGATACCCCCAGGATAAACTGTTGTAGTGACTCAACCTCGATCTTTATTCTGTCTTCCACCGCGTAAATTTTTGTTGCCAGATCCCTGAGGCTCTCCAAGAACTGGTCCACGGACTCGCCGAGTAATTGCTTTCGATCCCTGAACCTCTAACTGGGGCAGAGTTGGCTGCCTGATGTTGAAGAGGTCGTCCAAGACGGCTCACAAGGTGGCTGGTGGCGGTTCGGTTGGGGTACCTGTTGACTGTAGTTGTCGTGCTGCAGAGTCGTCAAGTAGCCTGAGCCGATACCGTCCGTACTGGGAAAATAGGAATGCTTTGAGGTAGGAACGGGCTCTAAAAGACCAGATAGTGAAATCGTCACCGGGGAAGAAGACATTGGGCGGACGCAGGGTGGGGACGGTTGGGAAGGGAAAATAGGGGAATCCGATGATTACTAAGCATGCAGTAGGACGGGAGGTAAAAACTCCTCTTACTGATCCATTCCTCACCTCATCATCCAAACAGCACACTCGTTCTTCCTTCTTGTCCTCTGAAGCAGCATATACTATAAACTCATTATTTCCTGATTACCACCAGTAACAGCTGGCGCTTAGTGGCTTTTGGCATGCACAATTTGTTCTCTGGAGTTCACAGCAGTGACTGGGTGACTGGTGATCTCTACTATTACCTTCCTGTTTAGTTGACGTTGTAGAGGCTGTTACCTGACCACTTTTTACTTGACTACTGTCACTGCTCATATCAACACTTCATCCTATCCAAGTTAAAAGTATGAGAAAACCAGCGGGTTCCAAGCCATAAATGTTGTGTGTATCAAAGCTTCACCTTGACCAACTCATCCAGCTACTGTATGAGGCTGTTCTGTTGTTTTGTTCTGAACACATGTCCAGGCGTCTGGTGTGTATTTAGTTTATTACGCAACACATTGAGTGTACCTATCCTACCGATGCACCGTTGTGTTATGCATCATTTGTAGGATTATTCCCAGTTCCGTCACATTGCCGTTGCCTTGCTCTTGATCGACCTCTTAGTGCCAACAAACAGTCTCGCCAGCTGCTATCCAAATTAGGATTTTAACAGCAGAGAAATTGTTACTGGTAGGTGAGCCGGGTCAATTCATATACTGGACGTTGTCACAAACTTGTCTCCTTTGAAAGTTAAGCAACGCTTACTTGCAACCTTGCAGACCCGCCACAGAATGCAATAAATTATGAACTTCCCCTGTGGAAAAAGAAAACTTCTGAGTGTATGGACACATATGAGGCAGCTATGTAGAACACAGCTACAGCGGCGACCTGAATTTTGCATCAGCATAACTTTTGTGAGTGAGTGATTATCACTTTAGTCCAAGTCTTCATCAATATTCGTAACTTCTTACCTATCTAAAAACAGTATCAAAAGGTCATCTAAATTGATGTGGTTGCGTAATTCATCCCTCAGAAGATTGATTTTCTGACCTCCACCGACAGAATGCGACACATCGCCGCCTTTCCAAACTAGTCCAAGGCCCAGAACCTAAGGGTGCTTACTGGGAAACAACTGGACACTAACCTTTACGTTGAAATGATTGTTATTCGCCGACCTCAAAAACCTTTCTAATGCATCGTTGGTTTCCGTGGAAACAGTAAGCACAAGTAAATCTGAGGAAATCAGTATTTGTAATTATCATCATTACCTCTGGAATGAACCGTCAGGGCGCTGACAAATGTGAGCAGAATGACGAAAACGCAATACATGGTCCGGTTGGTGATTTGAAATGATGGCAATTGTGCACATATCCAGTTAACGCCCCTTTGATTATTTCAAACAAACATTCCCAATAGGATATGGTGCAAATAAATCCTGACGGTACAAACCGCAGAGACAATATTTAACCATCGTCAATTCACTTTCGTTTATATTTCTGAGCGTTTCTGGGCGGTTAAACGCTTTGATCAAAGTGGAGTGTGATGCCCGAGTGATCTTTCCATTTCAGGTGGCCATTCCGGACAGCAGGGCAGAAACGGAAAGTTAATTCACCGGAAGCTGTAGCATTCTTGATGCAAAGAATTTTACGGGGAATGGATCGAATTTCACCGTGCATTTCAGTAGTTTCTTCACAGTTGTTTGCGTAAGCGAGCGAAGTTTGAAGATCACCTGACACCATTTGTTTCCACGGTCGCCTGGTGTTAGCACAATGGAATTGAATTTTCGAAAGCTACTACGTGTCCCTTTGGACAAAAAGAGAAAGGAGATTTGGAGTACCGACCTAGCTTTGCGAGCTCCATCTAGGTATCCCGGGGTATCAGCATTGCTGGGAAAGTATTGTAGCGTGGGACGTCAGGAAGTCAGTGGTATTCGATGTTCGAGAGGATGTAGCGACGCCACACGTCGGTTCTGAAATGTGCAGATATACGGACTGGTATTATTGAGTCCACACTGTATACACAGCACAATTGCGCACAGGTCGGGCGGGACAGAAGAGAACACCGGAGCGTGGTAACGACACACGTGTATTCGACCGAACCCGAAACCGGAAGACGGGGGTGTGTAAAGTCAGGTCAAAGTCAATCAGGGGGTGTGTGCAGGAGGGTTACTCGTTCCTGCCCGAGGCTCGTGGTGGCTCGTTCGTGATACCTGCAATAGGGGAGAGAGAGAGATGGAGGCACACAAGGTCATGCGTTAGACGTGCAAGCCAATACAGTCAAGTTTCAAATGCGTTACAGTATTCCACTTCAATTTTTCCGCCAGAGGTAAAATTGCTTCAGTAGACGATGAAATTCGGTGAGCAAGAATTATACCACCTTCGCCTAAGATGGGTCGCACCACCCCAAGCTCACCTCATCATCCAAACAGCACACTCGTTCTTCCTTCTTGTCCTCTGAAGCAGCATATACTATAAACTCATTATTTCCTGATTACCACCAGTAACAGCTGGCGCTTAGTGGCTTTTGGCATGCACAATTTGTTCTCTGGAGTTCACAGCAGTGACTGGGCGACTGGTGATCTCTACTATTACCTTCCTGTTTAGTTGACGTTGTAGATATTAGTTAAGCTACGGTTCGTATCCATTATATGGAGGCTGTTACCTGACCACTTTTTACTTGACTACTGTCACTACTCATATCCACCCCCTCTTTTGCACAACGGCGATCCTTTTTAGGTTTCTCTTAGTAAACCGAAACCTACCGCCCGTTCCAGCTAGTCCAACGTATAGCCTCCTTGCCAGCCCCCTCGGAGTCGACTCCTCTCCTTACCAAAATTAGGCATCCACTCTGGCCAACCTGGGTTTCCGGGTCAGCACACATACCCACATTTTTCTGGGTCCATTTAGCGTGCTATGATCCCCTTTTTGATTTTTTATCTATTGACACTTTTTCACCTCGTTCCCCCTTGGCACTCACAATACGTTACCGCACTCACTCTAATCCTTCCTCATCCCTCTCTCCTCAGGCTTCGAACTTCGGCTGTAGTTGTCCGGACGCCCCCAGCAACCGTTATTCATTCATCCTGGCTGGTTTCCAGCCTACACTGACATGTCCCTCAGCTGAAGGGAGGTTATCCGTGGCCCCCATCGACCTGATTCTAGCTGGTCTATCTGCTTGGCTAAATCAAATCCAGCTGCCACGGAAATGCGTATTCCGTCTGCGATCGCGGTATCCTCGACTACCGTTACGGGGCTGTCCATTAACCGAGGTATGTCAGTGCAGTGATGGCATAGCACTGCCATACCCAGTGCGGTGACACTCCCACAACTACGTTTTTCTGAATCTCAACCGCGAACTCTCGCCCATTCGAGCCTGTAATTGGAACTACGAGTAGATTTTTTACCTGGCCCCCAACATCTCTGGGGCGAGTTCATTCTAATGTAACGAAACTTTCGTTTGGATCTGACCAACTGGTTTTTTGCTGCAATTTCGACTTGCCTCGTGATGGCATGCACTGCCATACCCAGTGCGGTGACACTCCCACAACTACGTTTTTCTGAATCTCAACCGCGAACTCTCGCCCATTCGAGCCTGTAATTGGAACTACGAGTAGATTTTTTACCTGGCCCCCAACATCTCTGGGGCGAGTTCATTCTAATGTAACGAAACTTTCGTTTGGATCTGACCAACTGGTTTTTTGCTGCAATTTCGACTTGCCTCTTCCATAAGTTCAATTTCATGTACGGTGTTAGTTTGGCCCTATGTATCTCTATCCAACCTACCCTTTGCACCTGACTTTCCTGAAACGTTGGAACCATTGAGTCTACTAGGTTTCAGATTAGGTCACATTTTGAAGGTACAACTTGCTATTTGCTCCCACTTCTAATTGTTTTATTTCAATCTCCATCTTTGCTTGTTGTGACATTAGGCATTTACTCAACCACCCATGGTCACTATTGACCAGCAGTAAATTTCAGCTTTATTTCATGTCAATGGCTTCGTCTTTGAACTCGTCGGACCTCATGTCCATTGTTCCCTACAAGTTGGGAAATAAACCTTTAAGTAATATTTCATCCAACAGTGCCCACTGCTTATATCATTGCCCTCTTTTCGCGCATTCCTTCCTACCCGCAAACCCCCCAGTTATACTTCATTCTGACTGTAAGTGTATGATCATGCCAGACGGTATGCCACAAGTTATGAACAAACATTATTATCATTACAAGTACAACTTAGGAGCCCCTCAGAAGCCTTGGAGTTAAGCCCACTGAATAATTATTAGGTGTGTCAAACCTATTGGCGGCGTGACACCTCTCTGCTTCCTAACTTCGGTCGCACCAGAGGTCGTAGCATAAAGCCTGCCCACAATCTTCCTCGGTCCATCCAACTAGATGCTCAGCCTTCAATATGCGACTTGCTTTCAACACCCATCCACGGCCATACTCACAGAAACCTGGTCCACACGATGTATCTCACGCTGGGACTTCGGTATATGCTTACTCCATACCTACTACAACCACTCCTGTACTTTTTCGTGATGCAGTCTAGATTCACATTCCACTGCCTGGGACAGGCTTTGTTCTCGACATAGTCCATGCTTTCCCCTCAACCCCGCAAGAAGACCACCCGTTTCTCATGCAATGCATTAAAGAACTCTCCAGCCACCGCTCCAAACATGTTTTGTTGGTGTGTGGCTTTAAGGGTTCTAAGGTCTCTCGGATGGGGTTCATTTTCATTGATACTGGTGGACAAGTTTCATCACCGCCGACAAAACCTATAGCGAACGCTAGAGCTCAGCGTGTCATTACGCCCATCACACACCTTGCACGTCCATAAGGGTGGTTTGTCAGTCAGGCGATACTCATTTTTTTGGGACACAATGGCCATGTGTTATGACCTTGGATTTTATCTGCTACTGGACCAGTAACCCTGTGCCCGAAAAGTGGATTCGATACTTTTGCCACGCGAATAGCAAGAGGGCGCATATTTTCCAGGTCAGCTTCAACGGGGACTGGCCTCAGTGGAGAAGACCTGTAGGATTATTGTCCGGAAGACCAACAGGGTGGATACAATGCTCGTCGTAAAAAACTATTACGCGGTCAAATCAACCAAAGCCTCCTGAGAACGATCCGACGTCTTCTGGAAATGATGTCTCAACATAGAAGAGACCTAGAAGACGAGTGGGTGGTAATGTGGTGAAATACTGGTAGCTCGGGTGAGTTTATAGGTTGTTGATGAGGTGGGTGTTGATCTGTTCGCCGAGCTTGGCAATTGGCTTGCAAAAGTTTCGTCACCATACGAGAGACATCGGTGCACAGTTGGGTGGGTACTTCTTCCTCGCCTGTGTGTGCTTATATAGCAGTCCAAAGCTATCTGTTAACTTCTGAGGTGCTTTGCTACTTGAAGTGTAACGAATTTAGTGAAACTAGTGGTCCTTTTGTGATCTTTGTTGCGTTGTGCTCTGTGTTCCTTTGTGTTGATTGGTTATCCCATCGCCTTCTAATTTAGTAGCTTTCTCTCTCTGGCCTTGATTCGCGTTGCGTTGTGGTGTGCCATGGTATGCCATTCTCGAGTTTTATTGGTTGACAGTACCGCCCCATTTCCTCCTCTGTGGCGGTTGGTGTCCCCGCATCCGTCGGTTGATTTGGTGCTTTGGTTGGGCGCCTCCTCCAATCCAATTGATGTGTTCAGTTGAATGATGATTTCTTTCTTCTCCCATGAGTTTCTTGTCTGGCCGCTTTTGCGTCTCTAACCTCTGTGGTTCTGGTGTTCTCTCGCTCTTGGTGGCTGGTAAATGTGATCAATTTCGATGTGTCCGCTGATGGCTTCTTCGGTGGAGTACCATGCCTCCATTTATTCGCGTTCTCTTTTTGTTCTTTATTGAGCCAGTGTGCAAACGTCGCTCCAGTCGGACACGTGTCCTTCTTAGTCTTTGTGTGCGGAGATAAGGGAGAATTGATCGTGTCTTTTAGTGGAGAGTTGGTGTTCATGTATCCTTGTGGAGTGCTTCCTTCCTGGTTGTCCTACATAGCGTTTGTCGCATTCCTTGCATTGGATGCTGTATATGACACTGTTCCTCGCCAGTGTACCTATTTTCTCCTTTGGTCTTAATAGTGTTCTCCGCAGAGTATTCGCAGGCTTGTAAGCTAACAATGTATTGTGCTGTCGTAAGAGCCTTGCCGTCATTTCAGCTGTGTCCTTGATGTACGGAAGTGTGACTCGTTTGCTTGCATTTTGTCCTGTTACATCGATCGTATTTGGCTCCCTGAATGTTCTCCAGATGAAATTCCTCGGGTATCAATTTTTCTGAACCAACCTGTATAGGCGCTTTTCTTCGTTGAGTTTAGATTCTGATGTGC